GTTTTAACAGGTTAGCCTTGTTGCCATTTATTAATTCTGAGAATTAAGCTTTTAATTCATCTATCATTCAGTTCTTCCCATTTTCAAACAACAGTATTGAATATACAAACCCTTGATTTACAAGACACTATTCTTTTAAATAAAAGGTATAGTATTTGAGTAAGAAATCTGTTCGCTGTAAATGGAGTTTTAAACTAAATATTTATATTAAAAATCAAAGAGGAAAAAGTCTCAGCCAAATGAAAATTAAATCAAATTATTTGCTGATCCTGAAGTATACTGCTAAAATCATGTTTTTTCAAGTTGTATTAATACATCAATATAAAATTGATACATAATACTGAATAATAAATTATTTTACTATTTAATGGCATCTTAGGATTTTAATTATTATAAAGCTAATAAATTTGCAAGATGTAGTTAATATTACCAATTATCTCAAAGCACAGCTAAAATGAATTAATTCATTATTGCCTACGGTCCTTTCTATCAATAAATTCATGAAGTATTTTTAAAGATTATAGCATCATATTACTTGTTAAGTATGCTTGCTCTGCATATAGATAAAAGTGGAATTTTTAACATCTAATTTCTTAACATAAATATTTTTAATTTTAATTTCAGATAATTATGAGACCATTGCATAAAACATTTGGTTTTGTATTTTTCTGCATTTTTTCAAACCCTTACTGCAATCTAAAACCTTTGATCTAAAATTTATTAGCAGCTGCTAGTTACACAATCACAGTATACATACTAAATCTAAAGAGATCCCAATATTCAGTACTGCAATTTAAACATTCTGATAAAAAGAAGACCCTTATACTGCAGAACAATTTCCACTTTTGGTTGTTCTCAACCTCAGTTTTTTTCAGCCATTTTTAAAGTGTTGATTACTTGAGGGACCACTTGTCTCCCATAACATCTGCCCAGTCAATTCAATTCTGGATTCTTTCATATATTTTAGTTTGCACAGATGGCTTATCGTAGATGGCACATTTCTCCTGATATTTTGGTTAAAAATCTGAGGTTGAATTATATGTGTATGGGCTCATACGTGAGTATACTGTATACATGATATATGGTTACTTTAGAGAAGTACTGTCATATGTTTTCACAGATAAGCCCATCCATGAATAAACTGAACTCAATTTGGGGGGTATATTATGGCACCTAAAACTCTCAGCTTTTCTGCAAGTTTACGAAGTACACAGCACTTGTTTGCTCGTCAAACTGGAGGCTAGAGATTTCCTCTGCAAAAAGATTTTGAACTTTGTACCTAATTAGTTTCTATTTTTCTTTCACTGTCCCTGCTCCTCTTTTGACATTCTCATTTATCAAGTACAAGGCTGAAGTTATAAAGAACTGGCTCTATTTCTGTACAAATTTTAGCTGTGAAGTTTAAAGGAAGAAGAGCAAATGAAAAGCCAATTCAATGCTGCTTTTCTGTGATATAAAAACATCTGCACTTGCAAGCTGGGTAAACCACCTACTGACAGTCAAAGAGTCAGCTAGGCTCCTCTATGAGAGGGCCAAAAAAAAAAAAAAAAAATCTTTGGAAACAAAGATTTAATGCTCTGGAAAAAAAATGCTGGCCTGTTTTTTAAAAAACATGGATTTAAGGTTTTTTTTAAAGCAATAGTCCTATGTACACAGAAACTGGAAAAGAAAGACAAGTTCCGCCATATGTATATTGCTAGCTGATACGACTGGCTGTACAAATAATCCTCGAGTTACAAATATAATACAGCCTACCAATGACATTTGTAACCGAGGATTCGTTTCCCTGCTTTCCCCAAAGCATTCGCCAATCAACATGGAGCCCAATGAGACAAAGGAAACAAGCTCCATGTTGACTGGCTGCCACGCCGCAATCCCTGAAGCTGCTCATTCGAACTAGTCTGTCAGTAGCAAGCAGGAGGCTGCTTGCCAGCAGCCAGACTGGGCCCAAATGAAGCCTGCAGACCCTCATGGCAGGGAAAGCCAGGCTTTCAGATGGGGTGAAGCTGTTTTCCTTACATCTCATGTTCTTACAGTTCAAGACTTCAGCTTCTCTGCCTTGTGGGTGATCTTCTTCTGAAGCTCTTGAGAAAGTAAGTATAGTAAAGCTTGGGAAATAGAGTGGGGAGGAGACAGTGGAATACAGGATGCTAATGGCGAACTGGTGGGGTAGGATGGTGGGGTGAATAGGCAGGGAGCATGTTGTAGCATCTCTGCGGTCGGTTGTAAGGGCGAATGACCACTATGGTGCTGCAACATTCAGAACTTCGGGACCAGGTTGTAAATACTTTTTTTGGGAGGGTAGTAATTTTGAATGGTTGCAAACTAAACTGTCGTAATTCGAGGGATACCTATATTACAGATTTTCTGCTGCTTCTGCCAAAAAGTTTTGCATGGATTTGCTTTTTACTATTTCTTTTGTTTCTCAGGACTCTTGTAAGAATGTTACAGCTATTGCCTTGACCAAACAATTCTCCTGGCCATTCAACTGTAGTTTCCATAGCTGTTTGTAATGCACTAAGGTTACTTCTTATTATTTTCAATGCAGAGTAGCCAGGCACAATTTAGCCCAGGGTGTCAAACTTGCGTCGTCATGGCGTCGTCACGTGATGCATCGGGACTTTTTCCCCCTTTGCTAAACCGGGCAGGGGCTGGGGCCAGCACGTAACGCATCCAGGCTGCGGGCTTGACACCCCTGATTTAGCCCATTCTGTTCCAGCTTTGGAGGTGATCCATATCAGGGTGATGACAGTTCTTACAGGCAGACCATTCACAATTACATGTTTCCAGAAATCTCCTGTAGTACGTTTGCTTTCCATAGCTCTTCCCTGGATTCTCCCAGTCATGAAATCAACTGGATCCCTTGGTCACTCATTGCCAGTGCAGCCACTTCCATACAGTGCTCTTTGGAGAGAGTCTTTGCATAAAATAAATAATTCCCATCTATTTTACTTGACATCCCTTTTAGGAGCCTGTCATTTATTAATTGACCAACTTGACAGGTAGCTAAATCTTTTATTGTAAGCCTTCACACAAACTTTCCCTACTCTTTACTGGGGACAGTGTTTTCCTACCAGCAAGATTCACTTTCTGGAAGGGGGAAACAAAGCAAAGGGAATTTATCAAGCCTTTCTTTATGTGGCCTGCAGTAAATAAATAACAGCACCATGCTGACATTGTTACTGTAGCAGAATAGGATTCTACAGAATAGAAGAGGCAATTCTTTTGCTGGCTCTAGGACAGCTGCATAATACTTCAAATCAACTGAGAGAAACAGCCCTATTTCTGTTTAGTTTCCATCAACTTGGTTACAACAGAACAAGATAAGCAGATTCCAAATATATCTTTTAGCCTTTCCTCCCCAAAGCATGACAGAGAAAGCAATTTTAATGTGTAATTATAGATCTAATTTGTGAAGTAGGCAGTTTTTCAAAATGAAAACACTACCTTGATAACTGGGTATTGGAAATGTCAGTCAAAGAATGATTAACATATGGCCGCACATTTCCATTTAAATTCTAAAGGAAAGTAAGGTGAAGAAACAGAGATTTGGTGGACAGGTATAAAAAGTCTATAGCCTCAACCCAAGGAAAATCTACAATCACTGTATATAGATAAAAGACATATTCTTAAGAACTGTATATTCTAGAGCAAGATTTGAATTATTGGATTCTATGGCTAAATATTGGTGCTTCTATCACTTGCCATATCACGAGAAGAGCTTCAGTTGTTGAAAATACTGTTCATGCTTTTTTTTACTGTCAACTGTATGTACATCTTAGATTTACATATTTAACATTGCTCCTTGAAAAGATGGCCCACTGGGATCTGAATTGCAGATTGTCCTGTTTCCTCCTGAGCTTTAAGCTACACATTGTGAGCAGAATTGCTAAGTTTATACTTAAGGCAGCTAAGAACCCATTACACTGAATAGATCAGGGTATCCTGTAAAGCAAAGAATGCTGATTCTTCGTATTTACCACATATGTATTTTATTATTGTATTTCCTTTGATATATTTTACCCCAAAATTAAATCTTGTATTTTATTTTATGATATGGTCATAAGACTAATCAATCAATAAACTACCACTGTATACAAATATTTATTGATATATAGATACTTTGTAGTGTTCTACAAATTAGGAGTCATCTTGCTGTGAAAGAGACATAAAGGTAAATTATAAACTTAAAGGTAATGCTTTTACAGTTCTTTTTATAGAAGAATTGTTTTACTCCAAAGCATGTTACCTTTTATACATGCATACCTATATACAAATGCACTTATGGATATATACGAATGTACACATTACAAAATTTAAAAAAAATTCCAAATCAGGAAAGTATTTGGTGGTGACAGAAAAAACAATAGATGCTATAATAATCTCCCCAGATTACTGAAATTATGCTGCAGTGCTGAAACACAAAAAAAACGAGGGCATCTACTCAGTGGTGGGATTCAAATTGTTTTACCACTGGTTCGGTGGGAGTGGCTTGGTGGGCGTGCTTTGCGCGCACGCAGAGGCTTTCCTACTGACCTTCTCTTGCACTCCTGCACTCTCCCTGTGTCTTCAACAGTTGATGCGTGGCAATCCATTGTGCCACACGATGCAGCTGAGGTTGAAAAGCAGCAAATAAAGGTCAATATGGAGCCCGGGCAGGCGGGGCCCAGCAGCTGATCATCAGAGCGATTGAACCGGGCAGCGATCTTCAGAGCTACTGGGAGCGACTTAACTGGGATGAACTGGTAGAATCCCATCTCTGCATCTACTGTAATGAGGGTGTGCCACACAGCCACTTTTCTAAGAGTACTGGTTGAAGACAGGGCAATACTATGTAAAAAAGCTTCAAAGCCTTATGACAGGCCTAGCACTTAAGCTTGCATTCTTAATGTTATATTCACTTACAAAATTCTACAAAGAAATCAGCAAAGGTTTTATACATGCAGTATATTCTGCATTATTAGATAGCATAGAAAGGATTAAGAAATGTATTTTCTTACCCACTATAATCGAGGATTCACAATGATAGTAGCCATTGGGTTGCTTTTTTTTCAACATTGAGCAAAGATCTAGACGGTTCATAAGTTCATCTCCAAAATAATGATTTTTGAAATTTGCAAACATGCTTGAATCAATTCTCTTCACTCCCTTGTAACATCAAAGAAAAAGCACAGACAGAAGAAGACAAAGTGAACATAATAGAATGAGTATATATAAAATATTTCAAAGAATAACCTAAAGATGTGACTCCTTGGGTAGTACTAGTTTAGATCTCATTAAGTTTTCAAATAAAATTGATTATTTCTTAGTTAAATACTTTATTTAGAAAACTACTAGAGCTGTGGGAATATATTAAGCATTAAATTTCACTACTATAGCTTAAGTAGTAAGATTAGCATCTTCTTAAAGTAGCCTTCTGTCTGACAAAGAAAAAGACAACACTGTAGACTGCAACCCACTATCAACTGTAAATGCAATCTCTGATGTGTATATACCCTGTTCATTAGTATAATTCTTCTGATTGGTAAATTAGCAACTGAGGTTAACACCAGACTTATAGCTGATCTCTGGAAGCTCCAGGCTTTGCTGTTTTATTTCCAGCTGTTCCTGGCAGTTCAGCTCTATCATGCAGACAACGGCAAGAGTGACAAGATGCAGTATGCCTTCACATTGTTTGAACTCTTCCTCTGGACAGTTGTGCAGATAGAGGTAAGCAGGCAGTACAACTTTAGCTCTCTACCTATACTCTACTGCTCTCTTGTGATGAGAAGCTCATGAGGAGTTGAAGATTCAGTGCCAATAGATTTGCACATCAGAATTTCAATCGTCTCTACCCTCTCCACTAAAATAAACAAAAATTGGTGCCCACATTTGGGTTACTTTTTCCTAATTCTTTACCTTTGTATCTTTTTTATGGGTTTCTTTGTTGAATAATGGAAATTAGCTCAACATTTTATTTTCTCTGTAATTTGACTTTTAATAAAAATATGGATAACAAAATAAGTTTTTTGTTCTCTTCTTTTATTGTATCTCTATTTCCCCCTTTTCTCAGTTGTTTTCCTGTGTTTATTTCTGAACAGATGTCCTTTGAGATTTTCCTGCATGGCATTTTGGATATGATTCCAAAAATGTGTTAAGGATTGGAGAAAATTGTAAACTCAGCTCTTGGCCCCAACTATTTAGAATAATCATCTTTCTAGGATCAAGCAGATGCCTTTTGTAACAGCTACACAATTTTGAGAAAAAATGTGACTACTCTAATAAGTTGCAGGCAGGTGTTGCACTCATGTTCCCAAGTACATAACTGAATTTTACATAACTGTATTTTACATAACCGAATCTGAACACAACTTTCACAATTTAAAAAAAAAGTTAATTATGACAATTACTGCCATTTGTGATAGGAAGGGACTTCTGCTATTCTATTATATAAGTGAACAGAACAACCACCAATTGCATAACAGTAAATGTTACGATATCAACCTGACATCTGATACCTAAAGAAAGTATTGATTCAATAATTTGAAATGATTTCCTACTAAGCGATATAACATGTACTTCAAAATATAGGCATATCATATATATAAATTTTAAAATATAATATTTAAAATAAAATAGGCAGAAAAAGACTTATAATCAGCTTTAAATTTAGTTCTCTCAAGGCACAATGACCAGACTCAAAGTATCATATTTGGGGACATTACCTAGTTCTTTAGAAAAGTCTATTAAGTTGCTAAATGTGGTGGGAGAGAGAAGAAGAGGACAAGATGCATGAACTCAATTATAACAGCAATGGGTGCAATTTTTTGAAGAACCAAAAGATCAGGTTAGGGGCATCTATCTATATGGCTTCTAAGAATCAAAAGAGACTGAATAGCACATAATAATTATCATATTTTTCCTTAAAGTTATCTATAAACAAGTGTTATAGTTTTTCTTCTAGTAATGATTTATTTTGAACAATTTTTTTTTGCACAAAAAACAAGCAACACTCAGAAAAATAAGGGGACATATGAGATTTAGTACTAACCACTATAGTATATGCTAGATAGCTCTGTTTCGGTTAATGCCTGAAATGCGGCTGACATCTAGTGGTGCATCATGTGTGCTGCATATGAGCTGCTTCTTGATTTCTCATCCCTAGCTCCTTTTAGTTCCATAGGAAGTATTTTTAAATCAATAACTATGGACAGAGCCTATTTAACCACCCACTCTGCCACTACAATACACTGTAATAGAATAATATGATATTTGCATTCCATCAGCTACCAAGGGATTTAAACGAATGAGAAACAGGAGACAAACTAACCCTTTTAATAAGGGGTCCTTGGTGCTCCCTGAGCTTGGTTGTTTTCTTGCAGTCATTTCATTACCCAAACTAGGTAACATCATCAGTGCACTGAAATGAGTGCAAGAAAACAACCGAGCACAGAGCTTACCAAGGATCCCTCATTTTAACCCTGAATTACAAATATTCTCCTTTAATCTACATTTTAACAAGGTAACTTCCAAAACTACAGTCTCATCTTCCTATAATATATTCAACCTTCCTCATCTTATGTCCAGGATATCTATATAAGGGACTAGTTTCCCACCCTACTTTTGTTATCCCTTTGTTAAACTCAGAAATGTTTCTGTGAAAAAGGAAGGCCTTGTGCAAATGCCTCACTCCAAGTAAGTTCCCAAGTTAATTCAAAAACTAATTTTCATTCATTCAGGGGAACAGAAACATGTAAGTTAGTTCTCTCCCCTCAAGATTCTGGCAAAGAAGCAATCTGAAAAGAATTTTATTTTGATGTCATGGCATGCTAAATGGCTCCCCTGAGTCATGTTCGTCTCTTCACCCATCTCAAAGCGTTTTTTTCTGCTAGGTGACAACCCTTCCCCCACCTTTGTTTTGACAATGACAGAAAAGAGCCTGCAGAACAAACACTGAGTGGGGGAGGGGACCCTCTCTGGAATGCTGAAAGTGAGAGAAAGCAGCCACTGTGAGAGGATTTATTTAGGGAAGAGAAATTATTTAGGGAGGATCTGAAGGGTGTGTGTGTGTGTGTGTGTGTATGCGCCTGCATGCACATGTGCACAATTGTGCCGTTCCCCATTGCTCATGTGCCTTGGGGAATGGCGAGCTGGCCTTTTTGGATTGGCAGCAGTGGGGTTAGGGCTGAAGTCAAGGCCTAGGCCTCCATTTCAGGCCTAGCCTCAGGGTTGCTATCAAGTGCCACTGTTCAGGGGGAACAGTGTAGCCAACGGGGGAAGAGATGGGGGGGAATGTAAAGAATTTATCTTTTGGTCAGGCATGGTGGTAGTGTGACACATCAACTGAGTCAAGTTAGGCAATTTAAAAATTTTCACAAATCAAGCCTAAAAGGTTTGCCATCGCTGTCCTAGAAGCTCTGTCAAAGGCAAGTTCAGTTTCTTTAAGACCAATGTAGCCATCTTGGAATAAAAGGATCACAAGACTTCAGTGGATGATTAAAGGTGATGGAAAAATGTGTTACTTCTATGAGAAAAGAATGCAAAAGAGACAAATTCAGAAAATAAATGTTATGTAAAATAGGCTTTGATGGGAAAGTATTAGCAAGATATTTTTGCAACTGTATTGCAACAGCATGCATAGGAAATATGCTAGTCTATGTATCCGTGTGGATACCTGTCTATAAAATAAGGCTATGCCTCAATCAGAAATTATCCAGAAGAGATGCAGTACATTGAACACATAAGAATGCAAGCATGGCTTCTTAGCAAAGGGGTTTTCATCTTTTCCAAATAATTTTCAAAGCATGCACTAGACTAAAATATAGTACATGTATATAAATCTAAGAAGAAAAAATAATATGGATTTAGGAAATACTGATCAAGCGAGGTTACACCACTGGAATAATTAGAAAATACTGTAAATGGACGTCCATTTTAGAAAGGTACAGTCAGGAACACTTGTACAAAACTTCTTAATTCTTACAAGGGATAAAGTGAGATGCAGAATTAGAAGTGTTCTGCATGAGAAATATCTACTTACAATATAAAAAAGTGGCTTGTAGATAGATGAAACATAGATTAACATTGTCATGGTATCTCTATTAGCAGGATACTTATGAGGGAACCCATTCATGCAGAATCTGGGTACTTTAGGCTTGGGATCAGGAATGCATTGGGGATTTTGTTACTGTACTAATCATCCTGATGCTGAAGGAAATTCCTATCAAGTTTATTTTAGATGTCATTTTCAAGTTTTAGAAGCATCTGGGCTTATTATGCTGGGTGACTTCAATATCCACTTTGGAGCTGGTTTGTTTGGGGTGGTTTAGAAATATACAGCACAAAACAGGGCAGTATAACAGGGTCAATATAATATAGCTTCCATGATTGATTTGATTTTTTTGTTCTAATCAGGAGGCTGTTCTGACAATGGAGAAGTCTGAGGTCTTCCCTGGAGTTATGGACAGACTGCTATCTGGTTAATGTTGGATGAATGGCTATACATCATCTTTGTGGGGACCCTGAATCCATTAGGATGATTTACCCCAAAAAAACTATTGGACAGGTGACTTGAGATGGTATTATTTTTTTACTATATGCCCCTCTGATCTTTGTTTATTACTTCTACCTATGACGTTACTAGAGATTTATTCAATTCTGTAAATTTCTGAATAAATAAATATACTATGAATAAACATACTGCATTCTTTAAAGGAGTCAGTTATTAAATATCTTAAGCACATTGGATTCCTTAGAGATATCTCTCAGGGAGATATTGATTGCTCTAGACTACCTCCAATCTTTTTCAATATTTACATGAAATGTCTGATGGGGCATCATCAAGAGATACAAAATTGGGTGCTCTCAGTCTGATGATGACACCCAAATCTATTTCGGTATGATAACCTCAGGTTCCCTTATATGTCTGACAGCTTGCAGTCAATAATAAATTGTATGAAACCAAATGCAGACAAAATGGAAATGCTTACTGTGACTGGCATAATGGAGCGGCATCTATTATGTGAATTTTTTCACATATTTAATTCTGTATACAAAAGCTATAATATAATACCAACCATGCAGAAGAATAGCTGTTTGTTAGCTAAAATTTAATCTGGTTCATATGTTGCTGTCCAGAATTTATATTTCTGTATATTTACATACACATT